AAAAAAAAAAAAAAAAAAAAGATGGATTTGAGAACTTGTTAAAGGAGGGAAGCAGATGACAGAAAGTTGGGGTTTATTTATTATTTTTTATTTCACATTCAGAGGGTACATGTGCCTGTTTGTTACATGGGTATATCATGTCCTGGTGGAGACTGAGATTGTAGTGTACCCATCACCCAAATACTGAACAGTGTACCTAGTAGGTCATTGGTCAATTCTCACCCCCCTCCTACTCTCCCTGGAGGAACTTTTAGAGCTCTGAGGATAGAGACCATTTATAATAATTCAGAGTTCTCTTCTGGCTGGGAATGATGGCTTATGCGTGTAATTCCAGCACTTTGAGAGGCCAAGATGGGAGAGGATTGCTTGAGCCTAAGAGTTTGAGACCAGTCTAGGCAACAAAGGGATACCCTGTCTCTACAAAAATAAAAAATAAAAAAAAATGTAAGGAGTGGTGGCCTCCACCTGTGGTCCCAGCTACTTGGGAGGCTGAGGTGGGAGGATGGCTTGCGTCCGGGAGGTTGAGGCTACAGTGAGTGATGATTGTGCCACGCTGCACCCCAACCTGGGCAACACGGAAAGACCCTGTCTTTAAAAAAAAATTATGTTGCACAGAAACGCACAGGAATTTTCTCTGGCACTCTCCACAGGGCAAATGGCTGTGGCCATGGCATAGTGACTAGTTAGGCATTTATTCACCAATTGCTTTCAGAATCACTATTTACCTGTATATTAGTGCACTTGTTCTTTGCATTGTCCTTTGAGCCACTTCCAACATCTTACTGATTCTCATACTGAGTTAAAGAAAATCTTTGATGTGCGCATTTTATTATTATTTTTGAGACAGAGTTTTGCTCTTGTTGCCTTAGCTGGGGTGCAGTGGCGGGATCTCGGCTCACTACAACCTCCACCCTCCGGGTTCAAGTGATTCTCCTGTCTCAGCCTCCCAAGTAGCTAGGATTACAGGCGCATGCCACCACGCCCAGCTAATTTTTTTGTATTTTTAGTAGAAACAGGGTTTCACCATGTTAGCCAGGCTGGTCTCAAACTCTTGACCTCAGGTGACCCACCTACCTTGGCCTCCAAAAGTACTAGGATTATAGCCATGAGCCACTGCACCCAGCCAATGAGGTGTATATTTTAATACTTACAGAAGAGACATAATTTTACCTTTAAAAAAATTGTCTCTTAGCAGCACATACTTCATAACAAAGCAAGGATAGCTATTTTCAAATCTGATAATTCTGCAAGCACAGTCCACATCTTCTCAAGCATTCATGAGACAGTTAGAAAAACAAACACAAATTAATGCAAAAATCTCAATATATTACACAAATAGAGTAGAAACCTTTCTGGTTATTCAGTTTTATCTTAATACAATTAACTGAAAAATAAATGAAAATGTAACAAGGCTGCTCAAAGAATAGAGCAGGTGAAAATACTGCACATTAACATCTATGATTGCTATGGGAACATCAGAAGTAATTTTTTTTTTTTTTTTTGAGATGGAAATTCATTCCTGTCGTTCAGGATGGAGTGCAGTGGTATGATCTCTGCTCACTGCAATTTATGCCTCCCAGGTTCAAGCAATTCTCCTGCCTCAGCCTCCCAAGTAGCTGGGAGTATAGGCACCTACCACCACGCCCAGCTAATTTTTGTATTTTCAGTAGAGACGGGGTTTCACCAGGTTGGCCAGGCTGGTCTCCACCTCCTGGCCTCCGGTGATCCACCTGCCTTAGCCTCCCAAAGTGCTAAGATGACAGGTGAGAACCACCATGCCCAGTTCCCATTAAAAGTAAATTTAAAACATTTCCAACATTATTTTTTAAAAAAGCATTCCATTTCACATATGAAAAAGAACAGCAAAAACAACAAGCCTAAGGTTGTAAGAGGGAGGAAATAATCATGATAGGAACTATAAATAAATGAGAAAAACATGTCATGAAATTTAAATAGATGTGCCAGGAGCTTGTTATTAGAAACAGCTAATTAAAAAGGCAAAAATGTCAAATGGAAGGCTCTAAAATGTAGAAACATAGGAGAAACCTAATATCTGAGCTGCAGCAGCAAATTTTATCTTTTCATTTTTGTTTTTTGAGAGACAGGGTTTCTCTTGTCACCCAGGCTGGGGTGCGGTGGCACCGTGAGCCTCACTGCAGCCTAGACTTCCCAGGCTCCAGAGATCCTCCCATCTCAGCCTCCCAAGTAGGTGGAAACTACAGTCACATGCCACCATGCTTGGCTAATTTTGTTGTTTTTGTTTGGTGAAAACAGGGTCCCACTATGTTGCTTAGGCTAGTCTTGAACTTCTGGGCTCAACTGATCCTCCCACTTCAGCCTCCCAAAGTGCTAGAATTACGGGCATGAGCCACGGTGCCCAGCAGCCAGTATTTTATTGAACTTAATCTGCAGTAACTGCCTACTTGTGTCAATGTGTTAGATTTTAAAAAAATAATCATCAGAACATTCCATGTATGACTGATTGTAAAACTGACCGTGGCCAGGGCCCTTTTGTTTAAAAATATACAATGAACACAAGTGAAAAAGTTGACTAAAACTAGGGCCGACCTTGAAATAACTATGAAAATAATCCCCTGCCCTGTTTAACACCTAGACCCAAGAGGCACCGATAAATTCTATCTTCATGTACAAAAATGATTCTGGGCCGGGCGCGGTGGCTCACGCCTGTAATCCCAGCACTTTGGGAGGCCGAGGTGGGTGGATCACAAGGTCAAGAGATCAAGACCATCCTGGTCAACATGGTGAAACCCCGTCTCTACTAAAACTACAAAAAATTAGCTGGGCATGGTGGTGCGTGCCTGTAATCCCAGCGACT